TGTGATCATGTCATACATCCTAGCTTCATGCAGATTAGCTCATCACTAGCATTTCACAATTGTGTAATCTATTCCTGATTCAGCTAGTGTTCTGTGTACACTCTTACAAAGAAACTTTCACTATATTACATCACTCATTCACTAACTTTTCTCATTCTTCAATCATCTTCTTCATTTCATCATCATTAAATGTTACTATCATTCAAGATTTCTATTTCTTCTTCTATTCAACTCTTTCTATCTGTTCATCTATCACATTATACATGTTTCTGATAATAATCTCTCATTCTCATAACAAGCATCATTATAGTGCTTATACTGAGCAGTTTATTAACAGTAAGTGTAACATGTTGTGAAATGTGATCAGAACTTGTTTATTCTCTAATAATTATCAGAATATATTATCATGAATGATACATCTTCTTCATCTTCTTATACATCTTTAATCATTTTCTTCAGCAGGTTTCTGATCATGTCTTCTGACATAATTTTATATAAATGCAGATGCTGATATGTTTGTTTTTATTCATGTAGAATCTTCATGTGTTGACAGATTTACATTCACTGATGATAGTGAACCTGATATTGAATCATTAATTGAGAACTTGAAGAACATGATAATAAAGAAATTATTTATATTATGTATAACTGAGTCTTCTGTGTCTCTCTCTGCTTTCTCTGTTTCTTTCTCTGCTGCTCTCTCTTAATCTTCTACATCTGTCTCTGTGTCTGATTCTCCTGCTTCTGCTATCTCTGTTCCCGCAATTCTCACTTCTGCCACTTCTGGTTTTACTGTCTCTGCTTTTATTATCAGCTCTTCTCATTTCAAGAAGATGTTATATAGACTTAATGAATCACATTTCTCAGTGTATACACTTCTGCTCTTCTTACTGATCTCTAGAATAATTTATTGTATAAAGATAGTATATAACATAACTATCTGAAGCTTGATCACAGACACTGATTATTATATTCATTTTAAATATTCATAATAAGATAATTATTCATTTATACTAGAGAATCATCTTCTCTCTTAACAGTGTTGAGATTATAAGTCTTTTTTCTTTTTCATCTTTTTCTTTTCAACACTGATTTTTCTGTTCTTAGAGAAAATTATTATGAATTTTACTGTGTATGAAGTCATGATATTCACAGATATTAAGAAGCTTTTCATAACTGTAAAGTTCAATATTATGAGAATATCTGTTCTGATGAATTTCTTCAGAATGATAGATCTGTATCAGTCTATTCTCTAGTATCTATCATTTAACTTCATAATGCAGACAAAAGATATCTGTGTTTTCAGAAACAGAAACATGAATGTCATACTCTTTTACATCTGTGAGTGTGAGACTTATACACTCTGTCTGAGATATTATCATGAAAATGAGCTGTTCACATACTATGTTCTACTTTCTGTATTCTCTCATGTCTCTCTCTCTCTTTCTGAGAAGCCTTGTGTGTGTTATAATTATGTGTACAATTCTAAGATCAGTGAGTGTTCATTTGATAATTATTATCTCTGCTTTTGTGATTTTATATGCTAACAATAGTTCTTAGTTACTCTGATGTCAGAGATTATTTTAATTGAAGATGATAACACTGCTGAGACTACTCTCTCTCATCTTCAAGCTTCTTTCATTGCTTTCTCTTTCTTCTCTGCAGAGAAGATTGTGTACACACTGAGTTATAAGTGTTCAGCTCTGAGTAACTTCTGTTATTTATTCAGTTCTGCATCTTCTTCTTTCATTTCTTCTGTCTCTGTCTTCTCTGCTCTGACTTCTGATTCTGTGAGTTCTGTACTCTTCTTCAATTTCTCTATGTATATACATACACATTTCTATATTGGCATTTCAGTCAATCTTGTGATAAATGACATTAATGTTGTATGCAGAGCAGTAGAGAAATCAGAGATATATATAATGTTGTTATAAGAGTGACTTACAGCTCTCAAATCTCTTACAGATCTCAAGTTTTGAGATTTTCTTTGTTTTTGATGTTTTTCAGATAGTGTGATGTTAGAAATAGATTAAACATGTAATGTATGAAAATGAATAAAGTATGTATAATAACATTTGTCTTTTACAGCTGACTCTTATGATTGATGATCAATTCATTATTTCTTTTCTTTTCTTACACTTTTTCTTTATCTGCTAGTCACTACTCTTATGTGACCTCTATATAATACAGTGTTCAGTGACTAGATTCAGCAGCTTTCATCTTTTGTGATTCTGTCTCATGTATTATACTGTCTCTCTTCACTCACTCAGACTACTACAGTGAACAGTTTATTAAAACTAACCTTGTCTGATCTCTGAGCATCTTCAGAGATTAAGATGACTTGATTTCATATGTCTGCAGATGTTTCAGATAGTTCATTCTCTGTAATCTCTATAATTGAACTGATGTAAACAGTTAAATTCAACTCTGAATTTCTTTTTCTTCTGCAATCTGACTCATGTACAAGTCTGTCACTCTGAGACTGCTCTTTACTGTGTTATGTCTACTGTCTGTAGTATGTTATTATATAATCAGCTATAGTCTTATCACTTATTGAAGTATAGTATTTATCTAATTTCTTCATTTCTTCTCATTCTTTTCTTATAATTGTGAAAAGATTGAAATAAGTGAGATTATCTGATTTGTAAGTGTCTATGATTTCTCTTACTTCATAAGACTTTTCAATTGTAAGTCTCTTCTTTTTCAACACTGATAATAGTACTGTGAATAATTATAATCTGCTCAGATCTTGCATCTTTACTTTTATAAGTTATGAATTATTGATTAAGTTGTGTAAGATCTGTCTCTCTGGTTCTTTCAATGCATATGTTCTCAGAGAATGTGATTTGAGTATCTTATATGACTCAAATCATCTAGATTGAAACTTCTCAGAATTCTTATTGTATATAAGAACTTATATTTTCATCTTGAGACTTGATTTCTTAACTAGTGAGTCTTGTATTCTTTTCAATTGAATTGCTTGATTTAGGAGTAACTTGTTAGCTTTTGTGCGTGCATGGCTGATCTCTTTCAATCTTGATTCTGTGTCTGTGACTGTTGTGTCTGCAACTGCTGTTTTCTCTCTCATCTTTTCTGAAGCATTCTCCAGGATGCGCGGATGCAATTCATACAACAGGTAGAATAATGAATACTTGAAGACTGCATGCTGTTGAATCCGCATGGTCAGTAGTGCCTGCTCAAGATATTCATCTCATAGTCTTGTAGACTTGTTCACTAGATATTTCATCAGTATATTACTCAAGATTTCATTCAAGTGTTTTATCTTTCTATTCATCTATGAATGATATAATGTTGTTCTACAATGTCTTGTCTGTAACTAGCTCATGAAATGTCTCATCACTTCTTCTATGAGATTTACACTGTTATTAGTTAGAATCTTGTGTGACATTTCATAGTTGATATAGATCTCATTATATAGAAACTTCATCATCATCTTCTCTATCATCTCTGAAACTGCTTTTACAACTGATCAGTCAGTAGTGTAATTAATAGCAGTGATTATTCATTAATTTTCATTTGATGTCTGTGATAATATGTCTATGAGATTCATCTCTTATTGTTTAAACAGTTGTATTGTACACTTTATCTGATGTTATACTTTCTCATATTCTAATCCTTTCTTAGATTCTTTTGCAATCTGATAATTCAGGCACTTGTGAGTGTACATCTGAATGTCCTCAGTCATGCTTGGCCAGTATACTCTTGATTTGAGTATATTCATGAGTTCAGGGCTTTCTAAGTAACTGAATTCTTTATGCATGTGAGTCATCAAGTCACATTGAAATGAAGGTTCTAGATAGGGAGCTTCTGTGTATTCTAGATCACAGTAAAGTACAATGTCATTTTCCAATTTTCTCAGCTTGAAGTTTGGAAGCATCTCTTCTACTACTTTCGCAAGATGCTTGTTATCCGACACCTTGTCATTCTCCAAGCAAGAGATCATGGCGTTCACTCATTCTGATTGCAGCATCATTTTTTCGGTCGTCATTGAAGCTTGGTGGCTCCGGCAGATCTCCTGGCTTAATGTATTTCATGCTCAGATTCTCATCCTGCACAGCGGTCTCTGATGATGTGTACACTTCTGAAGAGATTGTGAATGATTATAATGAGATCTTCAGGTTCAGTGTAGTCACTTATCTGTGTAAATGTTCAATCTCTCACTGCAGATCTAAGATCTGGTTTTCTCTATTCTTATTAATGATAGTGATTGTGTTGACAAAGCTCTTCATAGTGAATGCTTGATCTGCAGTGAATGTCAATTATTATTTGACTTTTATCTCAGCCTGTCACTGTGTATACAAGGCCTTGATCTTATTTAGAATTCTTGTACATGTACAGAGCTTTGATTTCAGTTCAGCAGTTTCAGTTACTTTTCTTACTGCTTTGAGTAAACTCTCTGAGAGGTTCTGCATATCTTTCAGTTCAGATAGCAGAGAAGAGTGTTATTTATATTGACTAGAGAAGATATCTATTTCAGTGATTTCTTATTAATTATATAATGTCTATTATTATATTACTGTATTATTATATCACTATATCACTGTATCATTATATCACTATATTGTTCTGTTATTATTGTACAACTCTGATAATGGTCATCTCTTTCTTTTATCTCTTTAAGTGAAGAGCAGTCTTCTTTGAATCTGGTTCACTGCTCTCATTTCTTTTTCTCACATCTTATTCATTTACATACATAGTATTCATCTGAGTATGAAGTTTTTCTCTAATAAGTGAAGCAGTATCAATCAGATGCTTTTCTACTCACTGCTTTTCATACACTATCTTTTAAAGTGTTCTAGAACCACACTGGCATAATAACTATGAATCACTTTGTAGATGAAATTATCATGTTCTGAAGAAGTCTGCACTTCTCACCAGTTTTTAGACATGCTATCAGATGTGATTCAAAGGTTGCTTAAGCCAGTGTATGATTACAGGTGTACACTGACTTCTTATATATTGTAATATTGTATGCTAATTTAATTAGCGGCCGCTATGGCCCCTTTACACTCATATGCATACGCTAGTAGTTCGGAAGCGTCCGCGTATGCTAGTAGTTCGGAAGCAGCTGCGTTATTATCCGACGGTCGTACGTTCTTCCGAACCACAATTAGAGCACTTAAGCAGAGTATGTTGACAAATTTCACCTCTTTTTGAGCATGTTTCACATTTATGCTCACTAGTTTTGTGATCTCTGGCACAGAATGCACACTTTGAGTCTCTAAAACATGAGATTGCAAAGTGTTCATATCTTTGACAGTTTGAACACTGTGTTTGAGCTTTGAGATTCATTCTTGAGTCTTTGTATTCATGAACTCTCATTTTCAAATCTGCTACTCTTACTTCAGAGATCTTTGACTGTTTAAGTGTTTTTATATATACTAGAACAGAGGCATTTCTCCTGCTTTGTCTGAACTCAATTGAATTTAGTTATACAGACTTCTTTCTCAGTTGAATAGAGTTGTATTCTTTCAATTCATTTTTGAGAAGTAGCATTTCTTCTTCACAGTCAAAAATTTCAACTGAAATATCATGAAGAATGAATTTATCTCACTTTTCATCTCTTTCAGATAGAATTGTTGTGTTTAACAAAGATTCTACTGCTGACTTTCAGAGATTCTCATTCTGAATAAGGAATTCAGCACTGAATTCAGGCATTGTAGTCAGAATGATGAAGTTTTCAAAGAATGATGACTCAATTGAAGCTATAACTGGTTTTTGAACTTCAATATCAGTCATTAATTGAGAAAAGAACTGCTGATTAATTTCATTTCTGATTCTGAAAATGAGATTTGAGTTTAGCTTGTTTCTTTGCAGAATGTCCTGATTTGAGACTTTGAGAATAAGTCTTCTATTTCTGAAGATTTGAAAGTTTTTCTCTTTTTGTATTTTCTTTTTCACTTTTCTATAAATAGGGGCATGAGCAGTATTCTTCTCAGTTTTCTCAGGATTTTGAGCAGGTTTTGAGATAGCAGATTTAGAGACAGCAGATTCAGCTGCTTGAGCATATGTTTTCTTCTGATTCAAAGAAGAAGAAGAAGTAGGAAAAAAGAATAAAGAAGAGTAAGATGAAGAGTCAGTGATTGTACTAGGAATTTTCAATGTTTTTTGAACTGTGTTTGAGATTCTAAGTTTGAACTTGATCATCTTCTGTAGTTGTCTAGCCTGAGTATGAAGAATTAACAGAACTTCTTCATTCATCTCACTCAGACACTGTTTTTCAAGAATCTTGCTTGCTTTTTCAAGTTTCTGTATTTTAAGAACTTGTTGTTTCTCTATTTCTTCTTTCTTTCTTCTCTTCAGAATTTCAATCTCAGAAATAGCATTTAAGAAAGCATCTTTTTTCACATCAACTGAGTGTATTTTTGAACTCATTGTTTTCACTCAATGAAAAGTTGATCAGACTGTTTCAATTGAGATATTTCTAAGTCTGTTTTCAATTGAAAAGTTGGTCAGACTGTTTCAAAAGAAGAATAAAAGACTTTTGTGTATAAAACACCTGATTTTTTTCACACTAGTTCAGTAACTAGGTTAGATTTTTGAAGAGAATCTAATAAACTAAAATTGATTTTTGAGATAAATCAATAAAATCTTTACAATCTCTTTCTTGGGATACAGTGAGAAAAAGTATGATATCAATTAATAATAAATCAGATGATATGACAGTTTTTGAGAGAAAAACTGACAAAAAATAAATCAATTTTTTGCAGAGAAATTGATTAAAACTATTCAATTTTATTCTAAATCATTCAATTCTCCTCACACAACAAGTGTGCAACTCAAATCAGTTAATAAAGAGTGTAAAAAAGAATTAAGTATTAATGAAAGCTCTTCAGCCACTGAAATAGTAATTCTTACTTAAAAGAATATGAAATTATGACAGAAAACAACTCTGTTTTTAATTCTTTGTAAGAATATTGTGTAAAACCCAGAGAAAAACACCTTACTTTTTCAAGAGAAGTAAAAAACTATTTCTAAGATCTTTTTTTTTTTGCATTAACTGCTGCAGAAGAATGAGATAGAAACTGCTAAGATATGCACTACTGTATATTCTCTATCAAGACTTTCTCTCTTCAGAGTCTTGATATTATAGAGAATATAAGTCTGTTTCTATATGATAATATAAATATTGCCAGCGGGATGTAGAGGAACTGGTTATTTATATCTCAAAATAGAAGACTTTGTCAATGATTATATCAATATAGAGTTAATTCTCAAATTCAATAGAAATCTAGTATTGCTGTTCTCAATCTCTTGCAGAATCTATTGAATATTGAGGTATTAAAACTAGATTTAATATATCTCACTGTGCAGGGATCAAAGGCTCAGTCAGACCTTGGGGTATACTGATTTTATAGTTGTTAGTGTGCTGTTGACTCGTTGTCTGTTGATTATGTGCTTGATATTATCGCCGAGGTATCATTTTGTATTTTTCTGCCGGGGATGGGCCAGATTGGAAAGGGCGGTACGAGGGTGGGACTTGGCGTTGGTGTTTTGGAACATCAAAGATGGACAGGGTTTTCGCGGAGGTCGCTCCTCAGATATCTCCACAACTACAGATCGGGGATCTTCCAAAATCGAGAAGATTGGTGCAGGCTAGGTCTCTTCACCTTACAATTTGTATGGCAATTTGGCCCGGGGTTGTGGTGTGATAGGGGAGAATGGGGGATAATCCCACGCAGGAGTTCCGAACGACGTCTGGTTCACATTTGGCTGGATAACTCCACCACCACACGGGGTATGCGGTCGGCGATGGGGTCAAAATGCTCGTATGATCGAGGGCTTTTCGATGGATCTATCGGCGGGTTCTTATTCGAAAAATCGAGCGAGTTCATGGTGGAGCGGTTGCAAGCATAGATGACTTCTGATAGAGATATTTAATTTAACTAAGATAGCTGAGTTTTTATCTTACTATAAGAAGAATCTGATAAAAAAGCTAAAACAGACTGCTGGAATAAATTTCTTGAAGAAGCACAAGGAAAGGAAGTTTTTAAAGCTTTTAACTATACTAAAACAAGAAGTGTAGCAAAACTTCCAGTCTTAGAATATGAGTTTCAGAATGAATCATATACAGCAAACTCTTTTGAGGAAAAATGTCAAGCTTTCATGAGAATTCTCTTTCAGAACTCACCAGATTCAGATTCAGATTCAGAGAAAGAGAATATATCACTTCTCAACTATATTAATGAAAATGACTGGAAATGGTCTGATCTTACATAAGATGAATTAGAGTCAGCTATCTTCTCAAGTTCTGTTAAAACTGCTGCAGGGCCTGATTCAATTAATCACTTGATTATTCAAAATACATATTCCTACTTAAAGAATGAATATTTTGAGCTCTTTTTCAATCTCTTGAAAAATGAATATTATTCTGAATACTGGAGAGAAGCCACTGAAGTGATTCTTGTAAAACCTAATAGAAAAACTTCAATTTCTAAGTCATATAGAGTAATATCTCTATTAAACTGTCTAGGAAAGATTTTAGAAAAGATAATAGCTACTTAACTATCTTTTATAAGCTCTATTAATAACTCTCTTTTATTCAGTGAATAAATGAGAGATAGAAAACAATGTTCTGCAATTAACACTGTTCTCTCAGTTGTTTATAATATTTAAATAGCAAAGCATGAAGATCTGGTCTCAACTGCAGTTTTTATTGACATAAAAGAAGCATTTAATCATGTTTCAAAGTCAAAGTTAATTCAGACTTTGAAGATGTTAAAACTGTCACTTTCTCTAATAAAATGAGTTAACTGTTTTATGTCTAAAAGAATCATACAACTTTTCTTTGATGAAATGAAACAAGACAAGACTGAGATAAAAATAGAAGTATCATAAGAATCTTCAATCTTATCTATTTTATTTGCAATATACACTGCATATCTATTCAAAAATAGAAATATGAGAATAGTGCAATCTCCAAGTTATATAGATGATATTGATCTAGTCTACAGCTCAAAAACTATCAAAGAGAATTTGAAAGTGATTGAAGAAGCTGTAAAGGAAATCTTTATTAGAGCAGATATCAATCAAATTTAATTTAATATGAATAAAACTGAGTTAATTCATTTCTTTTCTAGATTCAATGAGAAAGAACTATCTCTAACTCTTTTAAATAGAGAGATTAAACTCAGTGTAAATGTCAAATGATTAAGAGTATGATTAAACTCTAAGTTGCATTTTAAATATCACATTTAACAAAGAACTGTCAAGGCAGAAAGGCTATTAAACAATATAATCAGACTATCAAATACAGAGAGAGATCTATTCTTCCAGGCTATGAGATAATTATATATAGCCTGTATTACATCAGTAGCTGATTATAAAGTTCAAGTTTGATGAAATAATCAAGAGAACTTCACTGAACTCTTTCAAAGTCTGTAAAACAGAGTCTTGAGAAGAATTCTAGAAGCATTCAAATCATCTTCTATTAAAGCAATAGAAATTGAAGCTTCAATTCTCTCTTCTGCTATTAGATTTGAAAAGGCCTGTATGAACTATGCACTGAGAGTTATAAAGATGAGCTCAAATTATATAATCAGAGAAAGAGTCTCATCTTCATTTTCATCAATTAACTCTGAAAATGAACTGAATTGAAATAGATTTCTTGATTGAAATGAAAATGATTCTTTAAAGAAAATGTCTTCTCAACTTTACAGACTATACTCTCTGATTAAAAATCAATTTTCTTCTTTAAATATTGAAAAAGTGAATCATAAGAAGTTATCTCTCTGAAGAGAAAAGCTTGAATCTCTTATAGACTTACAAATAAGTGAACTATTAAAAGAGAAAGAATATGAACAGCATTTGAAGAGAATTTCTATAATTAATATAAAAGACTCTATTCTGATTTATTCAGATGACTCAAAAAATGAGAACCTGAATAGATTAGATGCAGGCATTGCTTATACTGAAGATAATATTAATTTTATCTCAGATTTCTGAAATCTAGACTGTGAATCTGAAGTCTTTGATGCTGAACTATTTATAATAGTGAAAGTTTTCAAACTCATAGAAATAAAATCTTATAAAAGAGAAAATAGTTTGAAAGAGATATGAATATTCTCTGATAGTCAAGCTGCTTTAAAAAGACTTAGAAATAGTCAGATTCATAATAATCAAATGAATCTTGAACTGATCTTAAACTCTGTTTTGAAAATTCAAAAGAGAAGAATATCAAAGCTGATAATTCATCTGCACTGAGTTCCTGCTTATATGAATATTCATGACAATGAATTGACTGATTCAGCTGCAAAAAAGAGTGCAGAATTAAGCAGATCTATTCAAAAAATTATGTTCTGATCTTTTATAAAGAGAAAAATAAAAGAATCTTATTTAGACAAGTGAAATAAAAGCTGACAGAAATAAAAGAAGAGTATACATTATTCAAGATTTGAAACAAAACTCAAGTGAAAATCTTGTTTAATTAAATGTAAAAAGAAAATATTCTCATCTATAATACAGCTGAAACTAGGACATGACTATTTTAAATCTTATATACAAAGATTTAATGATAGATTTGACTCAATAGAATACTCATTCTGCAATATAAAGAAGAATTCTGAGTATATTGTAATGCACTGTGTATTATACAATAGTCTCAGAGTCAGATTGAAAGAGAAGTATAATCTAAATCAATTAAATATGAGATTCTTATTCTCAACTGAGACAGAAATTAAATACTTAATAGACTTTCTATCAGAAACTCAAGCAGCTACAAGAAAATGACTAAATTCAGAATTATCTGAATATGAAGAGGAGAAAATCAATCAGATATAGTCTGTTAAAACAGCTATACACTCTCTTTTAATAATTTGTTTTATTATAGTCTCTTTTTATTATTATTATTATTATTATTATTATTATTATTCTTCCATTATACTCATATGCAAGCGGAGCTTATGATGAGTCCTTGCGTGATGTTAAATACAGGCCAAGTGTTAGTTATACAGAAGGAAATACAGGTGTTGAGACCACGTCAAGATAACAAGAACATAGGAAAATACAAAGGAGTGACAATTAGATACATGCGATAATAACTTTCCAGCCCAGGAACATAGAGCGATTCATTGAAGCAATTTGTACACCTCTGTATTTATTAGGAACCTGAGGTGCTTGAGTTCTGAATTTAATGTATCCCCTGCGGGTTTCGAACCCACGCGCCTTGGTTTCCCACGCCAAGGCGCTACCAGGTGGCCGCATTAACCATTCGGCCACTGAGGCATAGTCTCTTTTTACTTTATCTTTTTCTTTATCTTTTTCTTTCAATTTCTTTCTATCTATCTATTTAATGTGTCTATCTTTGAGACTGTGTTCTTTTTCTCTTTTCCTTTGTCATGATATTGTTAAATGATTTCAAAGTATCAAAAGATGTTAAAACACTGCAATTTGTAAACAGTTTTTATATTCTGAGCTGGAATTTTCTGATTTTACATATCTGAAATTGATGAATGTATAATAGTTAACTTTACAGACATAGGAAAAACCCTGAGAACTAAAAGTTCTCAGATAGATGTCATAGTCTCTGACTGCATACATCTATAATTGAAGAATAATAATAATAATAATAATAATAATAATAATAATAATAGAAGAATCTGATAATAGATTTAATAGAAGAGTAGAAACTCTTCTAAGAACTAATCTATAAGCTCTCTTATTATAAGACAGAGATCTTACAGACTTATATAAAGAAGAATCTGAAGAATAGCTTTATCTAATCTTTACAGATCTCTGTAGAAGTCTCTATAATATTTATAAAAAAGAAGAATAAAGATCTTAGATTATATATAAACTACTATAATCTGAACTTTAAGATTATAAAGAGTCACTATCTTCTATCTCTGATTAAGAATGTAATTAACTGTCTTGTAAGAGCTGTCATATTTATATAACTAAATATAATTAATATATATACACAGCTGTGAGTACAGTCTAAGAATGAATAAAAGACTGTCTTTAAAATTATACTGAAATTATTTGAATATCTAGTAATATCTTTTGATTTAACTAATATCTTCACAGTATTTCAGTCTTTTATTAATAAAATACTTCATGTATATCTGAATATCTTTATAATAATATATCTGAATGATGTGATAATATACTTTATAAAAAAGAAAGAACACACTGAGTATATATAAACTATATTAAAGATCTTAGATGAGACAGAACTATATATTAAGCTTATAAAGTATAACTTCAGTATCTATCAGATTAATTTTCTAGAATATATAATTACTATAAATAATATTCAGATAAAATCTTTATAAGTTAAAACTATTCTATTATAATTAGAGTTAACTAGTATTTATAAGATTCAGATCTTTCTGAGTTTTATAAATTTCTATAGATAATTTATCTTTGCATTTATAAGAATCTTCTTAATTCTTATAGATATACTAAAGAGTGAAAATAAGAAAAAGTCATTCTATAAATAAAAAATAAAAAGATTATTAAGAAGAGAGAACTATAAAAACTTTCTTATTTCAGAAGCTTATAAAATCTTTATAAGATTAAAATAGATATTTATAAACACAGTGATACTATTTCATTTTAATTTCTTACTCTTAATCAGATTGAAGATAGATATCTTCTTTGTAATAATTTCAGAAATAGTCTTATAACTACAGTTAAACAGAAACTGAGTTTCAGTGATCTTTTTCTTATAAAAGATGTAATTTATAGAGATTAACTATAATATTTATAATTAGAAGTTTCTTATAATAGTGAAATTCTTTTATCACTAATATTACTACTTTAAGAGTCTTATGATAGTAATTACTATTAGAACTGATTATAATAGCTTATAATAGTTTACTTTAATAAAGAAACTCTTACAGTAATAGATTTACTGA